TACTGTATTTTAACCATATTTTAACTGGATTTTAACATTTTAAACTTATTTTACTTGTATTATAACTGTATTTTAACCATATTTTAACTGGATTTTAACATTTTAACCCTATTTTACTGTATTATAACTGTATTTTAACCATATTTTAACTGGATTTTAACATTTTAACCCTATTTTACTGTATTATAACTGTATTTTAACCATATTTTAACTGGATTTTAACATTTTAACCCTATTTTACTGTATTATAACTGGATTTTAACCATATTTTAACTGGATTTTAACTATTTTACTTGTAAGTAAGTAAAGGTTTATTTCTAAAGCGCCTTTCACAGAAATATGTTCACAAGGTGCTGTACAATCATCATCAACAATGTAAAAATGGAGGAAAGACAAATTAAAACATAATAAAACATAAATAAAACAACATAATGAAACATCAAAACAAGAAGAATAAACTCTAAATTGTAACTCAGACACACGGTCGAGGCAGAGCATGATGAGAGGAGAGTGATTATGTATGCAAGACTGTACAAAACAAATAAGAAATAAAATGTTGAATAAAAAGGGGGGGGGTGAAATTTAAGCCATATATACAATATTGTATTAAAACCGTATTTTGACTGGATTTTAACCCATTTTACTTGTATTTTAACCATATTTTAACCATATTTTAGCTCTTTTTTCAACTATATTTTAATTACATTTTAACCCTGTTTTACTTGCATTATAACCATATTTTAACTGTATTATACGTGTAGTTTAGCCGTATTTTAACCCTATTTCACTTGTATTATAACGTATTTTAATTGTACTCGACCTCCAGCATGTGTGAATCTGTGTTGAACTTGTTCTGATGTTTTGTTCCTCCTGTCGGTTCTTCAGGTGCTCCTCCTCCCCCGCTGCCTCCTCGTCGTCACCGGAAACCCCGGCCTTCCTCTCTTCCTCTGGAACTCCTTCCGTCGGTTCAGCCTCCCCTCACGCCTCGCTCCCTCCCTCCTCCTGTTCCTCCCAGACGTGAGTCTCGTCGTTGCACATTTCTGTCTGTGAAAATATGTGAACGATCCCTTTATAATAATAATAATAATAATGTTATTTTATTTTCTCAGTTGACTTGTTGGAAGGAGAAGGTCAGAGTGAAGTTAACTTCAACGTCGTCTCTCTAAACGTTGCAAAACTGGTCGACATCAGTCGAGGTCAGGAGATGAAGAGAACTGACATTTGTCTTATTTTTGTTTATTTTCTGTACGTTAATGTTTGTTTGTTTGTTTGTTTGTTTCAGATGCAGGTCTGGAGACGTTTCAGAGTCTGGTGTTTTGTGGAACGTGTCGAGCTGCTCTGTCTTGTCTGAGTTCTGTTCAGAGAAACGTAAGAACAGAGAATCCAGCATCACTTTGTTGTTCTGGTTTTTAGTTTGTAAATGACTTCTGCACGCCCCATTTTTAGCTGTTTCTATGTAAAAACATTCGGCTCATTCGGCGGCTGGGCACCCTGACTCTTGGTTTTTATAACTATTATAGGTTAACTTTATTTACAAATATTTTCTCCATTGAAATACATGAAAATCTCTTTAAATCCTTCAAAAATTGTTCTGCTTGAAGTTTGTTTTAACACACTGGCTAGATTTTTGTCTTATTGTGTTAATTTCAGCTTCTAACTAGCCTTTTGCTACTTTAAGCTGGCCTATTTGTTTACTTTTGCTGTTTTGAGCTAATACCTAACTTTGTCCTACTTTGGGCTAGCTTTTAGACACTTAACTAGACTTTTGATGGTTTTGTTTTTTAGCTAGCCTTTTGCTGATTTTAGTTAGCCTTTGGCTGTTTTGACTTTTAGCTACTCTCTTGCTATTTTTATCTAGCTTTTTTATACTCCATACAACAGTTTGATGTTTTTAGGTAGTTACCTGACATTTAACAACTTTACCTTTTAGTTATCCTTTTGCTATTTTTAGCTAGCCTTATGCTACATACATTTGGTCAGCCGTTTGTTGTTTTAGCGTTTAACTGGTGTCTACTACTTTTATCTCTTAGCTAGCATTTAGCTTCTTTTAGACCTTATAGGTGTTTTGCAACTTAAATTT